TGTTTATACGAACTCTGGAGAACTCTCTGGCTGAGCATCTTACTTCTTACGACCTCCTCTGACAAACAATATGGTTTCCGTTTCGTCAGTTCTACTAATGATGTGTTCACGGTCATCACTGATGACGTATAGCAAGCTCTTGATGATAACGGCGAAGCTAGACCTGTGGCTCCCGATATCGAAGACGTTTGACTGGGTTTGGCACGCTGGTCTACTGCGCAAGCCTCAGGGCTACGGTATCACAGGAAGAATTTCAATCGTGAAATAAAGATCGTTTTCAACTGGGTTCTACGCCGTTTCTGATTTTCATCAATCATATTATTGATGTCATAACTTCTCAATTAGGCATTTATGTAGATGACACTAATATTTACTCAATAGCAAATCCTTCAGAATTAACAAAGTAAACCTGGCTGATTCTCTTGAAACCTACCTCCAATCAGTGGTTAACTGGGGCAGGAGATGGCCCGCAAAAGGTAACGCCTTCAAAACAAAACTGCTCTCATTTAACCTTCATACAGAAACATTTCTGCCTGCCATCAGCATGCCTGGAGATAGACTTCTGGATAGTAACATAATGTGCCTTTTTGGACTCACGTTTGGAACTGACTTGAAATGGAGCAACTACATCGAATCAATAGCTGCATCTACTGCAAGGAAAGTTGGTTCACTGTGTCGTGCCAGAAGTTTTTTTCTCGTCAGAATCCATCTTGCACATTTACAAATCTAACATTCACTCGTGCATTGAATACTTTTGCCATATCTGGTTCGGTACTCTTGTAATTCATCTCAAGGTTCTTGACAAAACCTAAAGAAGAACCTGCAATATAATAGATCATGACTTCGCATCTCAATTTCAGTCACTTTCTCACCGATGTGACGTGGCTTCCCTCTGTCTTTTCTATAAATATTTTCGTGACAACTGCACCGACGATTTTTTTTGCCCGGACTACGTGAGTTTAAGCGTGCTGCTTGATTGTCATCTAGGTCCTGCCCGTTTACTGTAGAATTAGTTAAATATATAACTGTTATGGCCCGGTTCCTTGTACCATGGTGATAGTCCAAGGTAGAACCAATAAAGAAGAACTCGAACACAGGTATGGAATAACACAGATATATTACAAACAGGAATATATGCAGAGAAGTAGAAGTGTGAACAATCAGGTTTAATGTAGTCTCGACCAGTATCACTATTCCAATGTCTTGCAGTAATTGTCTGAACGAGACTCTGTTTCGGACTGCCTCTGACTCGACTCTTGACACGACTTGAACTACTGACTCGACTTGAACTACTGACTCGACTTGAACTACTGACTATATTTAGTCACCCCCCCCACGTGGGCATCATGTGGCACGAGGCCGGTTTAACGTGGGATCTCCGAGACCGTGGGCTCAGCTAAAATATGCCCATTGAACCCGTATAAACGGGTTCAGGGTTGGTTTACCTCCCCGAAAGAGACTCCGCCCTTCGGCGTAACCTCTTTCGGGTTCCTCCCCGCCCGAAGGCAGAGAGTTCAACCGATCGGCCGGTCGAGACTTGAACTACTCCCTGCCTACTCCTGAGGCGCAGTATTTATTAAGTACGGAATAGTCCATTATTATTATTATTATCATTGGCAAGATCCCATAACAGTAACCGCCACTTCTACTCCAACAGTTTCTTTTCTCGCACTTCTCACGCGTGAAACTCCTTTCTGATTTCTTGCCTCCCTGATAACTACAAAATTCAAAAATTTAAATCCAACGTCAATTGCCATCATCTATCTTCTTGAACCCGGTCCAGATTTCTTGAGAAAAATCCTTGTAATGTAATCGATCCTGATTTGGCATCACAACTTCAGTCACTTTCCTGCCAACTGTGGCTTCCCCTTGTCTTTTCTAAAAAATATTTTCATGGCAACTGTTCTGATGATCTTTTTCTCCGGGTACTCCGACTACATTAATTTAAGCGTGCTAGCAGATTAGACTCAAGCCCCAACCCGTTTACTGTTGAAATAGTTAAATGCAAACGTAACTTCTGTTCTAACAGTTTCTTTTCTCGCACTTCCCGCCTGTGGAGCTCCCCTCCTTTTACTTGTTTCTACAATCTCCATCAATTTAAATGCAGCGTCAATAGCCATCTTCTATCTTCTTGAATCCTGTTCCTCTTTTGTCCTCATTCCTCATTATATTCAGGTTTTCTCTCACATTTACACCCTGTAAACCCTTGCGCACTAGTGGCATTCTCATCTTGCTTGGGGCGAAATGATTAAAAAAAAGCAAATACATACAAACACCCACATATAAACATGCATCTGTAGAATGTTAATCTGAACGTCGAAGTTCGACAATGTAGAATGCTTGCTTTCTTGAGTGTTGTAGTAACCAATGTTGAAGTGGTTAAATAGATAAATATGGCTGCGTGTTGAGAAAGGCAATAAACATTCATACATAATATTTAAAATATCAAGGAAAAATAATGAAGAACCAATTTGTTTTAACAAATATATATATATATATATATATATATATATATATATTAAAATTCAACAATAATACAAAGTAGTTGTAATATGAGTAGCTTCCCATTAACTGTAAGAAAATGTTTTAAGGAAGATTTGTCAGAGTATAAAGTTCAGAGTTTAGTGTTGAAAAAGAATATTTCTTTAGAAAATTGTTCAGTTGTGTTGCAACTTACAGAGTTGATTCACAGAGAACTGGTGGTGTATCAAATAAAGTTCTGTATCTGTGTGTATGTACGTGCGGAGTAAATAGGATGAATAACACGAGTGAGTAGTTGAGATCTATTGTCTCTGGTCTGTACTCTACTGTGGTGCTGGAACAACTACTACTGGTTTTTTGGAATACATCCAATATTTATATTACTTAGGGTGGATCCCAGCACAAACGCGGGATATATTTTTGAATGTACACGAAAAATACTCGATTGGACGAAAAATGGACCAATCAATGATTTTATAGCAAAACTTGTTTGTGAGCAAAGTGTAGGAAAAAATTGAGTCTGGTGAAATGCCATCGATAAATTGTCCTATTATTTTTAGTATGTATTTATCGACCAATCAAAATTGAAGAAATGTAGGCGTGGCACTACACATCTATAAAGAACTATTCATATGAGTAAAAAACAAAAACAAACTATTGATACTTACATTCATCCAAATGCAAACGTATAAACATAATTTAAATACAAATAGCACATCTTATACACATTTGCAAATATAATACGCATGTCCAGTTAAATATCATTCAAATATCCACATATACAAATATATAAGTATTTACATTTATACTTACATAGATATACATAGGTATATATAAATATGTTATTACAATTTAGATCTACATATATACACGTACACAGCTACAAGTGTATAAAAATATAAATACACACACATGTAAATATCTAACCATGCATACCTATTCATAAACTTAAGTAAAACAAACCAGGAAACTATATACAATTACATGCATCCACAAAGAAACATAAATATATAGCCACGCAAGAAATGTAAACCAAAACGTATATATCAAAGTTCATTTTTTTCATAATATAATATATATATATATATATATATATATATATATATATATATATATATATATATATATATATATATTATACAGACAAACGTCTCATCTAAGGACCCCTCCCCATCAACGGGCTTCGGATGTAACAGACAAAATCTGCAGGCAAAATAAAAACAAAAATCAGCTGAAAAAAACAAAACAAAAAAAAAAACCTTCAATGGCGTCACGGTTGTATTAGCACAACGAGTCGTATTCGTTCTCAAAATGACCGCTGTGCCGCCGTGGTGTACTTGTAAACCGTATTAATGAATACCAAACACTTAAAATGCCATAGGAAATGATTTTTATTTCATGAGTGCTTTAAAAATCAGCTCTCAATCGTTCGGACTTACAAACAAAATCACTATTGTGTTTGTAAGCCTGAAGTGTTTGATATTCATTAATTAATAATAATTTTCCTTTGTCTTTTGCTCACCCCGGATCTATATCCTCCTGGAAATTCTATACGGAGTACCGTATTGTATTATATATATATATATATATATATATATAGAAACCTCTCATCAACGGACTAATAGGGGGAAATGGGTTGTTCTTTAAAGTCAGTTGTCTGCAGATGGGAATATAAACATGTATATATAGTATAAATAAGTACATATAAATAATATATATATATATATATATATATATATATATATATATATATATATATATATATATATATATATACAGGGTGTTTCAAAAAATTTGATATCATTTCGCAATCTAATAACTTTGTTAGATCTCCTTCAAATGACTTTAAATTTTAAAAGCATTTTTATGTTTAATGTTTGTTTTATGTTTTTATGTCTTTATGTTTTTGTGTTTTTCTTATTTGTATTTTTATGTTCTTTAATCTTTAATCTTTTTCTTTACAGGTATAAAAATGCTATTTACTAGAAGAGAAAAGGCGTTTTGTGTGTTGGAGTTTGCTAGAACATAGTCAAACAAGACTCTGCAGCGTGCATTTATGAGAGAGTTCTCTAGAAATTCACCAACAGGAATGCTGATTTGGAGATGGCATAAAAAGTTCAAAGAGGAAGGCTGTCTGTGCAGAGCAAAAGGATCCGGACGACCACAAACTTCACATTTCTGAAATCGTTCACATAATCCACATGCTTTTGAATTTCTCATTCAGATTTGGAAGAATAAATCTTATGATCTTCAACATGAATACTTTTTAATTTCATTTGCCTTAATCATGTACTTTCTGTGATATTTACATCTCAAAGGATATCAAATTTTTTGAAACACCCTGTATATATTCCAAGCGTAGCAATTTCATCAATAAAATGATTAGACCCAGTTGCCAATCTACAACTGCGCTTAAATTCGTAAAGGTACCAAAGGGGAAAGTTCATCAGAACAAAAACGTTTATAGAAAAGCCATATAAAATATTTAATTGGCTGAATTGCGATCTTCTGTAATTAGAATGACTATCTATCTATCTATCTATCTATCTATCTATCTATCTATCTATTCCGTTCTTATTCATATCTATCTATCTATCTATCTATCTATATATCTATTTAATACTAAAAGTCTGTGAAACTTGATTACGTCGGTCATTGTTTCTTTCTGACGGTTCAAGCTATAAAACACTGAAGTCCATTTCAACATTTAAAAATATATCTTTTTGAAGAAATTTGAAATAAAAATACTTACTGCATAAACGACACGTATTTTTTAATCTTATTCATTAAAATGATTTTTTTATAAATCAGATTAACTTAAAAGTATTTTTAATATGCCAAAAACTATTTTCCAACTCTCTCTCTTTCCACCTCTCTCTTTCTACCTCTCTCTTTCCATCTCTCTCTTTTTACCACTCTCTTTCAAACCCACTCTTTCCACATCTGCTTTTCCATCTCGCTATCTTTCCACCTCTCTCTCTCTCTCTCTCTTTCTCTCTCTCTCTCTCTGTCTTTGCACCTCTCTGTATTTGCGTGATTTTAGCTTTCTTTAAAGAAACATTATTTTAAATATTCAAAAAATATTTTTTACCATATTCAAAAAATATTTACAAGTGAATATGATTTAAAAATAGTTTTTGGCATATTAAAAATACTTTTAAGTTAATCTGATTTAAAAAAAAATAAGTAAATAAGATTTAAAAAATACGTGTTGTTTATACAGTAAGTATTTTTATTTCAAATTTCTTCAAAAAGACAATTTTTTTTAAATGTTGAAATGAACTTCTGTGTTTTAAAGCTTGAACCGTCAGTGCTCCAACGAGTCACGGGTAGCCTAGTACAAAATAAATCTGGAATATTACTCCCTGTATACGGACAGAAAACAAATTCAGTAACTTCACAAAAATAGAAAGGTGTGCTAGAAATCCTACCAGGATTTATCATTGGCGGACACAATCTTACAAACATAAGATGTGTAGATGACATCTTGTTGGCCAACACAAAAAAAAAACAGCATGAACTGTTAGACAAGCTAACAAAGGAAAGCGGGTGGAACTAACCATCAATTGTAAGAAGTCAGTATGTTTGGTCGTTAGCAAAAGGGGTAGTCCAAGATGCGAGCTACATATTGGGAACGTCAAAATCATGGTAACTATCTAGGAAAGACGAATCCCGGAGGGCACTGCTGCCGAAACGTTGTGATAACAACAACAAAAATAAGGACGATAGTACGAATATAAATAATGTAAAGAAAGGAGGGCTTGGAGAATCTGATACTCACGGGTCGAATAGAGGGAAAGAGAGACAAGGGAAAACAACACGTGACATACCTTTCTGGCTTAAGCAAGTGGTCTGGGGGAGGAAGCAGAGAAAATGAACTTGTTGAGAGCTGCAAGGTATAGAGGGAGGTGGAAATCCATGAACGCTTACGTTTCTGAAAGGAAATGGCACATAAAAAGAAAGAAATAATGGTACCTCGTCATTCCAGAAATTCAGACAGAAATTATCTGGCAAAGATTATAACAGATGACGGAAAAGACGATATCAAAATCCGAAGCCACTTTGGAAATGAGGATAATGCCTTCCGAAAACTAAGCAATATATAATGGAAAAGGTAAATTTCGTTCAAAAGAAGAGAGTGCCGAGCTTCTGTCACAATATCAATCCTTTCATCTGACTGGTATGTTGGACAATTTTTTCACGGATAAAACAGAGATTTATGTTAACAGATGAATGGTGAGAATACCATGGACGAAGCATTTGAGCAATGACGAAGTTCTCAAAAAAAAAAAAAAAATGGAAATAAAAGGGGGTTTATACTCAGAACCAGAAAGTAACAACTGGAAAAATGTGAGACATATAACAAAGAAAAAAGACTTGGCGAATTTGAAATCACGGGACACAATGAAGGCAAGAGAAGAAACAGCGAGTAACCTACCTTGTATAAATGGATGGCAGAACGGGGACTGCCTGATAGTAAGGAGACAAATATTTCTTAGAGTTACGAAGGATAGGAAGTTGTGGAGAGCCATGATAACCTACCTAACGAGCTTGTGTAAACGGATGGCAGAACAGTGACTAGAAGGGTTAGTGAAGAGACAAATATTGCTTTAAGCTACGACTGACAGGAAGTTGTGGAGAGCCATGATCTTCTACCCAACGAGCTTGTGTAAATAGATGGCATAACAGGAACTGGGATGGATAGTTCAGATACAATATTTCTTAGAGCTACGAATGACAGGAAGTTGTGGAGAGCCATGACCATCTAAATAGTTATCAGAATAGGGACTGGGAAGGATAGTAAAGAGGCAAATATTACTTAGAGCTACGAAGGATAGGAAGTTGGGAAGAGCCATAATCACCAATCTAACGAGCTTGGGTAAATGGATGGTAGAACAAGAACGTGGAGGGATAGCAAAAAGACAAACATTGTTAAAAGCTCCAACCGAAGAGGAAGCTGTGGAGATCCATGATCAAACATTGCTAAGAGCTACAAAAGGAGAGGAAGTTGTGTCATTGTCGCCGACATTTACAGCTTTATCCTAGAGTTCAATCAGTTTCTTTTCTGATTTTGCCATTAACATAATGTCATCTGCGTATATTACCGTACCTCCCAATATATAATACGCCTTCATCCATAATACGCGCCATAAAATTGTGCAGAATATGTAGGAAAATGCTTCTATGCACGCATAATACGCACCCCTTGTTTGGTAATCAAACCCTATAAATTGTACCTCTCCAATTTCATTACGGCTAACGTTTCCTTCTAATTAAAAAAAAAAAAATTATTTATTGTTAGGCATATATATTTGTTCTAAGATATTTTTTATGTTTATACATTCTTTTTATAGATACAAATATTTAAGTAAATGCTCTGTTTTATAATAAAGCAGTATTACTAACATTAACCGGCGTGAATGTCCGAGAAATTTCCATAGAAAATATGCGTCCTCCGACAGGAATCGAACTTGTATCCTATACAGAACAGTCATATAGCCTGACGTGCTTTTACCAATTGAGCCACAGAGGAGTGTTTTGGTTAGCAAGATCGATTTTACTGTTTTTAAACTACAATTCTCCATGATTTTCTCTCGTACAGTCATATCTGCTCGATGCGTATCCAAATGTAAACCAATGCCGTCACACATTATTAAATGGACAAAGTCCGACAATTATTTTAAGACATTATCAAACTAAATGATGGTTCCGTATTGGATACAAGTTCGATTCCTGTTGGAGGACGCATATTTTCTATGAAAGTTTCTTAGATATTCAGGCCGGTAAATGTTATTAATACTGTTTATTATAAACAAAGCATTTACTTAAATATTTGTATCTATAAAAAGAACGTATAAACATAAAAAATGTCTTAAAATAATTGTCGGATTTTGTCCAATTCATATATGTTTGTATTTGACATCCTTATGGGGTCGCAATCGCCGAATGTTAGTGTCAAATTGTCGTATGTAGAGGAGTAGTCATTTCGCAACTGAAATTGACCGAAGAAACGGAAATTTTTAATGATTTTTTTGTAGCTGTGCATAATACGCACCCCTAATTTTGCTTATTATTTTTTATAAAAAAAAAATACGTATTATACATGGGGAATTACGGTATATTGTCAAGATTATGTCCGTCGATAATAAATCCTGCAGGGTTTCATGCACCATCGGATTTTCCATCGAATTTCGCCATTTCTTACTCACAGGGATAAATTTATGAATCAGCCTGACTTCTCCCGTCGCCGTCACGGACTTAACCTCTTGAAGTGACTCTTTTGCTGATAGTCTTGAATTCTGTATTCTTACAGTTAAAAATTAGTCATTTCTTCTTCTATTCGTTTACGGCATTTACAAACATCCATTCAGTTGTCTGGTTGATAATGTTTAGCGGTATATCAACTTCTATGGGTTATTTATTGCCGAAATCTAAATATTTTGAACATAATTTTATGGTAAAAACATGCAATGATAACAGCAAAATTGCAATATGAGCACTGGTAAAAATGGTTGCTGAAGACATTAGGTTTATAATATCCAGAAATACCCAAATGCCCTCAAGGACAGATGGCACAGTGGATTAAGGCGTTGGTTAGATCCAGTGACAAGAGTGTGAGTTCAATACCCGGTTAAGGCAGTGGAGAACTTTCTGCGGGAAAATTAACAGGAGATAACTGATAACTGACATCCATTAAACATGGCACGTGGAACTAGAACAGTCTATCCCAGTGAGCGAAATAAAGGGTTTAGTTCGTCACCTGAAGAAGGCCGGAGCGTACAACGGCCGAAGCGTTGTGATAAATATGGCGACAAAGATGAGGACAATAGTCCGAGTAATGTAAATAAGGTACATAATACCTCATCTCAGAAATATAGACAGATACTGAAAGGCCGAAACGTTGTAATAAATATGGCGACAAAGATGAGGACAATAATCCGAATAATGTAAATAGTGTACATAATACCTCATCTCAGAAATGTAGACAGATACTGAAACGTCGAAACGTTGTAATAAATATGGCGACAAAGATGAGGACAATAATCCGAATAATGTAAATAGTGTACATAATACCTCATCTCAGAAATGTAGACAGATACTGAAACGTCGAAACGTTGTAATAAATATGGCGACAAAGATGAGGACAATAATCCGAATAATGTAAATAAGGTACATAATACCTCATCTCAGAAATATAGACAGACTCTGAATAATTTTATGGTTTCAAATAAATATATTTTGAATGTCTACACCTACCACTACAGATAAAATATATTGTAGGTAATTCTGCCATAAAAGGTATTTTTGGTAATTTTACTATAAATAGTTATTCTTGGTATTTTTTTAATATAAAAACATATATTGTCAGTATTTTAACTATAATAATGTATTTTTATACTATCGTAGTGTTGGGGGTTCATTATGTGCTTATAGCTGGGGCCCTAACAGGTGTTACCAACATGGGTCAGGGTAGATCTGGGAGCAACAGTAATTAAGAAGTGGTTCCGATCTCCTCACAATTTCCAATCTCCCGATCAGAGGCCTTGTCTATCGTGATACCCAGGATTAACGCCTCTCAGATTTCTAACTGTGTTTGTCATTTGTTATCTGGGTATATTATGTTATCAAGATTATGTCCATGGATAATAAGTTCTGTTGGGTTTTCTGCATATTCAGATTTTTGCGCCGTTTTTCGCCATTTCTTACTCTGTGGGATACATTCATGTGTTGACTTGATTTAACTGTCTCTAATGCGTAGTTAACATCTTGGACTGACTCTGCTGTTGGTAATCTTGAATCCTGTCTGTTTACAATTAATGATTAGTCCTTTCTTCTTGTTTTCTTTTTACCGCCTTTGCCAAGATTGCTTTTAGTTTTCTTTCTGTGTCTGCCATTAACATAGTGTCATTTGCGTTTCATATGTTGTTTATATTATGCCATAGCTCACATCCTTTTTGTTCTTATTTTGTGTTGGGATAATAACCTGTATTCTCTCTTACAATATATAGTCATTTCTTTTTGTTTTCTTTTTCTTTTTTCTTTACAGCTTTGTCTAAATGTTCTTCCAGTTTGCTTTCCGCGTCCGCCATCAATAGTGTCATCTGCGTATTTTATGTTGTTAAAATTACGTTTACTGATAATGAATACTGGTGGGTCCTACTTGTCGTCGGATTTCGGTCATATTTTTCGTTAGATTCTTACTACACTATTCATATTATTAAATTTCTGTACCTGTTCAAACCCTCCCCTGTCTCTTCTGCTGAACTTTTAAAAAATTCAGGTTATTTCTTTGAACACAATCATAATTTGTTTTTTTCTCATATTTTCATTATTTCACGTTATTCCCTGTTATTATTCCCTTATTATTCAATAATTTTCCATTTCTTCTCTTTCGTCTTTCTTTCTTTCTTTCTTTTTTTTTTTTTTTTTTTTTTTTTGGTCGCCATCTTCTCAGCCCCCGTTCATTGCTCTTCATGAGGAAAAGGCATTCAATTTGACTCGAAATCACCATCGCAAATAGAGCTTTTAACAAGGGAACCTCTCCCTGCATTGACTATCGCTTTGCGCAGTCGCTTGGAAAAATGATTGACAATTTGCACAATCTACCCGCTCGCCCGCCATCGCCCAAAACACGACTCCCTTCGGATGTTCTACAACAGCATTGCAGGCCCCTATTCCCCAACCCCCCGGCCTCTTCCACGCGCTTCCGTTCATTAGACCCTCCCCCTCACATCCCGTCATCTGATGATTGACTAACACTAAGAGGACGACAGAGAAACCGTGCAAAAGAGAATACGCGAAGAACAGGCGGTTTGCTCATTTCATCGCTAGGTGGCGCGTTTTACATATTTCGCTGCTTTCGACGCTTATCCATTTTGTAAGGCGTTTTTATTTCGTTCTTTCTTTGTCATTCTCACTCTTTTCTTTTTCTTTAATATAATATATATATACTTCTTTCTTTAGTTAGTTAAATTCCCTTTTTAGACATATTTCATAATAGTTTTTTTTCTTTTTATCTCTTTTTCATGTTTCTTTTCCTCTTCCTTAACTTTTTCACCATTTTTTTTTAAATTCATGATAGACATCTACATTTTTTCAATTTTTCCTACCCATCATAGGTTGCTTCTCTTCGTTTTAATTTATTTTTTTTAGTTTTCATTTGTTTGTTTTTCTTTTAAACCATTATCGTTTGTCTACCTTTCTCTTTGTCCTTGATTTCAGTTTTTACTTTCTTTGTTTTTCTTTCTTTTGCCTTTCTGCCATAGTCCATGTCAAACTTCTTTCTTTGCTTCTCGATTTCTTACTTTCGTATGCGTCCATCTGTATCTCTCCCTCTTTCTGTCTTTATTTCTTTCTCTTTTCTTGCCTCATATTCCATGTCTCTCTACTTCCCTTCTTTTTTCTTTGTCAATCACTCTTTTTTCTTTCTTTCATTATTTCTTTCTTTTGCGTCATAATCCATCTTTCTTTCTTTCTTTCTTTCTTTCTTTCTTTTGCTTCATAGTTCATCGCGATATTCTTTCTTTCTTAGTCCATCTCGGAATTTTTTTTTCTTTCTTTGTCAATCACTCTTTTTTCTTTCTTTCATTCTTTCTTTCTTTTGCGTCATAATCCATCTTTCTTTCTTTCTTTCTTTCATTCTTTCTTTCTTTCTTTGCGTTATAGTCCATGTCACTTTTCTTTCTTTCTTTCTTTCTTTCTTTCTTTCTTTCTTTCTTTCTTTCTTTCTTTGCGTTATAGTCCATGTCACTTTTCTTTCTTTCTTTCTTTCTTTCTTTCTTTCTTTCTTTCTTTGCGTTATTTCTTTGTCGTTTTCTTTGTTTCTTTTCTTTCTTTCTTTCTTTCTTTCTTTCTTTCTTTCTTTCTTTCTTTCTTTGCGTTATAGTCCATGTCACTTTTCTTTCTTTCTTTCTTTCTTTCTTTCTTTCTTTCTTTCTTTCTTTTGCTTCATAGTTCATCGCGATATTCTTTCTTTCTTTGTCCATCTCGGAAGTTTTTTTTCTTTCTTTGTCAATCTCTCTTTTTTCTTTCTTTCTTTCTTTCTTTCTTTCTTTCTTTCTTTCTTTCTTTCCTTGCCTCATAGTCCATATCACTTTTCTTTCTTACTTTCTTTCTCAATCACTCTTTCTTTCTTTCTTTCTTTCTTTCTTTCTTTCTTTCTTTTGAAATGTCATTATTTCCTTGTTCGCCTTAAATTACCCTCATCTTTCGTCCATTCTCGCTTTTATTCGTTCATTTCCCCACATTCGTTTACTTTTGCCGATAATATGCCTCAGTATTGGTCATTGGTAGAGGACAGGTGGGGGGGGGAGCAAAGGGTTCACATGACCGATTTGCTAAACTCTCCCGCCGCCAAACTGCTTGATGAAATTTTCACGTAGTTTGCAAGATAATATTTTCGATTCGACATTAAGGAAAAAAGAAAGAAAGAAAAACAAAAACAAAACCTACCAGTCATTATTTCCAATTTCTCTCTCTCTCTCTCTCTCTCAATCACCCTTAATCTCCCTCTTCTTATTTATTTATTTATTTATTTATCTAATCCCCCCTCCACCTACCCACAATGACGCCTTCATTCCACCCTTAACACCCGAGTTTCGTTTTAATCCATCTGCATGTGTCACTCTTTGGCACACTTTTGAACATAACTTATTTTCACTGATATTTTTCCTTTTTTTTTCTTATTTTCAATGATATTTTTCTTTCTTTCTTTTTTCTTTCTTTCTTTCGTTCTTTTTCTTTCTTAAAATTTACGCTGTAGTTCATCTTTTCTTTTTCTTTCACTTGTATTATGGATCACCTTTCTTCTTTCTTTCGTTTTTTTTTTTTTTTTTGAGTTATAATATTTGTCTTTAGTTGTTTTTTTTTCGACTTACCATCCATCTCTTTCTTTCTTTCTTTCTTTCTTTCTTTCTTTCTTTCTTTCTTTCTTAACATTTACGCTATAGTTCATCTTTTCTTTCTTTTGTGCTATAGTTCATCTTTCTTGTTTCTTTCCTTTTTTTCTTTGCGACATAAACAATATTTTTCTCAAGTCATTTCTTTCGATTCACCGTTCATCTCTTTCTTTCTTTTCTTTTCTTTTCTTTTCTTTCTTTCTTTCTTTCTTTCTTTCTTCCTTTCCTTTTTCTTAACATTTACGCTATAGTTCATTTTTTCTATCTTTCTTTCATTTATTCTTTCTTTTTTCTTTCGGATTATAGTCCATCTCACTTCCTTTCTTTCTTTTTTTCTTTCTTTCTTTCTTTCTTTCTTTCTTTCTTTCTTTCTTTCTTTCTTCTTTTCCTTTTTCTTAACATTTACGTTATAGCTCATCTTTTTTTTTATCTTTCTTTCATTCATTCTTTCTTTTTTATTTCTTTTTTCTTTCGTTCTTTCTTTCTTTCTTTGCTCATCTCCTTATTTACTGCAAATTAGTTTTGTCTCTTGCACATCGCAAACCAATGCCATTTATTCACCCCGTAACATATCTATTTATCCAAATGCCGTACTGTTTGCGACGATTACTTACGATATTTCCACTCAAAGATTTCGTCAAATTCATTCCCAGCCTTTGGCATCACTTTCAGTATTTCAAATCATTTTCTCTATTTGTCGCTTTTACTTGAAGTCTCTATTCCTGCGGTTTGTTTTTCATTTGTAATTATTTATATCGGCTTGGGACGTAACCGAATGCTTTTTCTGTGTTTATCGATCACATTCTCTCTCCGTAAACGTTGACGCAAGCCTTTTAGAATGCTTACTGTGCGTCACAAAACTGACGATAAACCTTCTCTTAGCTGAAACCCCTACAAACGCATGTGTGTTTGTTTGTAGAACGGGATATTTGATCATGAACAAGACTATATGTTAAAACGATAGCTCAGAAATTTTATTCATTAATTATTGATTTATTTTTCTTCTTTCCTCAAAAGGAGCAGACAAGTTCGCATTTCGTCCGGTTCACACTCCTCCCCAGTTTTAAAAACAGGGGTAGAGGTATATCCATGTTTAGGATTGGCATTCTGGTTTATTCTAAAGTTTACTACCGTACTGTATTTCTAGCGGCTCCGATGGATCTCTTCAATTTTATTTACTAATTATTTATTACTTCTCCCTCAATAGGAGTAGATAGGTTCGCATTTCGTCCGGTTCACACTCCTCCCCAGTTTTAAGAACAGGGGTTGAGGTATATCCATGTTTAGGATTGGCATTCTGGCTTCTTCTAAAGTTTACTACCGCACTATATTTCTAGCGGCTCCGATGGATCTCTGCTATTTTATTTACTAATTATCTATTACTTCTCTCTCAATAGGCGTAGATAGGTTAGCCTATCGTCAGGTTCACACGTCTCCTTAGTACTTTGAACTGGTGTAGAGGTTTGATTCCAGTTTAGGATTGTGTTCCTTCTAAAGTCTGCTTGCATATTATATTTCTAAAGTTTTTGACTGAACTCTGAAATGTTATACACGAATTAAATTTTGACATCTTCAAGTCTATCTGTCTATATCTCTGAAATGAGGTATTATGATTATTTACATTATTCGGACTGTTATCCTCATCTTCACTGCCATGTTTACAACGTTTCGGTCGAATTTCAAGGAGAATAATGTTTCTTCATGTCAACGAGTAGAGAGAAGTGAGTGCGTAGAGTATCAGTACTTTGATTAGCATACACATATTCGGTCTATGATAGAAAATATCAAGAGGAATAATAAATAAATTCAGAATTTATGCGCTTAAATTTGGTTACCAGACTTCATACGGATATGACCTAAAACAATTCGAGAAACTATCCTATATTTCTCCAAAAATCTCGCTACATTTTAAAGAGGATTAAAAAATATGATTTAATAATAAAAAATCATTTGATCTTTCCTCTTAATAATAAAAATATTGACGATAAAATTTTGTTCTTATTAAGTTTGGGGCAATTTTTCATCATGGTATGCTATTTTTTTTAGCGAATCAGTGGAGGTACGTCATGGTGTTTATTATTACATTCTCGATGAAGTTTACAAGAAATGGCAAACATAAATTAACAATTATGTTAGCCAAGTGGAGTGTGTAAATCCCACTCTTGAAGGTTATACACATTCGGACACTTACCGGTCACAGAGCTCCGTCCCTGTGCTTGTTGTATCACGGCTACGACTAGCTTGGACCGGCTCTGACCAGCTTGGACCAGCTATGACAAGCCAAGACCAGCTATGACTAGCTTAGACCAGCAACTGACCAGCTTGGACAAGCTAAGACCAGCTTGGACCAGCGGCCTGAGTGAAAACACTCGGGTCCCCACGTTAAAAACCGACCTTGTGTCATAACCTGACTCAGTGTTCAAGTAAATCTCCTAACCGGTAACATGACTAGCTTAAACCATCTCTGACCAGCTTGTACAAGCTATGACCAGCTAAGACCAGCTATGACTAGCTTAGACCAGCTCTGGCCAGCTTGGACAAGCTATGACCAGCTAAGACCAGCTAAGACCAGCTTAGACCAGCGGCCCGAGTGAAAACACTCAGGTCCCTACGTTAAAAACCAACCTTGTGTCACAACCTGACTCAGTGCGGGGGGATGTCAAGTAAATCTCAATTACGTTAGCCAAGTGGAAGGCTATATGTATTTTCTAACTTCTAACATAGCGTCATCAGGCACAGGAAAGAGGACATGTTATATTTGTCTTCTAAATGAGGAGAGCTCTCAATTTCTGTGAGTTTGTGCGTTTTTTTTTTATGTGGGATTTAGTGGGGTTATTAATGCTTTTTGTTTCAGGCAAGATTTAACTCTCATGACTTCTGACCTCCCTTGATTGGAGGTGTTAACAAATAGATTTTTTTTTTGTAGTGAATTAAGATTGGCTTCAGAAAATATCGCATTTAGTACCAGAGAATTGTTTGTCAGTTGCCCATCAATTGACAAATCACTGATACTACACCAGGCATGGCTCTCATGGCTTCTGATATCTCCTGATTTGTGGTGTTAACACGTACATGATTTTTTTGCTGAATTAAAATTGGTAAAATATCAGTAAAAATATCAGTAAAATTGGTAAAATATCAGTAAAAATAACGGTAAAATTGGTAAAATATCAGTAAAAATGTCAGTAAAATTGGTAAAATATCAGTAAAAATATCAGTAAAATTGGTAAAATATCAGTAAAAAATGGTAAAATATCAGTAAAAATATCAATAAAATTGGTAAAATATCAGTAAAATATCAGTAAAATTGGTAAAATATCAGTAAAAATATCAGTAAAATTGGTAAAATATCAGTAAAAATGTCAGTAAAATTGGTAAAATATCAGTAAAAATGTCAGTAAAATTGGTAAAATATCAGTAAAAATATCAGTAAAAATATCAGTAAAATTGGTAAAATATCAGTAAAAATATCAGTAAAATTGGTAAAATATCAGTAAAAATATCAGTAAAATTGGTAAAATATCAGTAAAAATATCAGTAAAAATATCAGTAAAAGTGGTAAAATATCAGTAAAAATATCAGTAAAATTGGTAAAATATCAGTAAAAATATCAATAAAAATATCAGTAAAATTGGTAAAATATCAGTAAAAATATCAGTAAAGATATCAGTGAAATTGGTAAAATATCAGTAAAAATATCAGTAAAAAAGTGTAAAATATCAGTAAAAATATCAGTAAAATTTGTAAAATATCAGTAAAAATGGTAAAATATCAGTAAAATTGGTAAAATATCAGTAAAATTGGTAAAATATCAGTAAAAATATCAGTAAAAATATCAGTAAAATTGGTAAAATATCAGTAAAATATCCCATTCAATAATACAGCTTTGCTTGTCAGTTGCAGAAATCTGCGGCAACTGATATGTGCTTCTACAGAGGAATGCTAAGAATACCATTAACGGAAGTTTTAAGGAAAACTAGACTGCTCATAAACACGTTGGGTTCCTTTTAAAACAGTTCTTGATACAAAATGGTGAGGTAACAATATTATCAATTTTATTATTAACTAGCCGAATTACCCGCGCCTTGCTGCGAGTCATGTAAGAAAATAATTATTGGTTTTAAATCATTGTTATAATTTGTGGAGAAAAATGATGCATTTCAATATCACTCACTGATCTTGCTGATGTGACCTCCATCTTCTGACTTTCTCCTTCTATATTTTGGCTAGAAGTCATTCCTTTGTTCAAATTTGAATTTAATTTAAATCCAAGGGGCAAACCAGCGGTGGATTTATGTAAACACAGCTTGATCTGACACTTTTGATATGTATTTGATGCAATACTTGATTGGATGAATTGATGAGCAGATTTCAACATTGATATGACAGTTGAATTGTCGCAACAAATATGTATTGTAAGGCACTATCCACTAATTAGTGATTTCTTGCTCAACTTGATGTACATATTGTCACATTTTGATCTTGCCGGTGTGATCTCCATCTTCTGGCTTTCTCCTTCTGTATTTTAGATAGGAGCCATTGCCTTGTACAAATTTACATTTAGTTAAAAAAAAAAATCAATGTGTGTTTTGCGTCCCTTGGTGTTCCACTTTGATCAAAAGGAAATATACTTATCCGGGTATCCTAGTAGTCATTCCCTTGTTGAAAATTAAATTCAATTTAAATCAAAGGGAAAAAAAAAAACAGTGTGTGGGGGTTGTGTGCACCCACCTCCTGAGATCCCTCTTTGATCAAAATGAGATATACTTATCCTAGTACCCTGGGTAATGTAGTTTCAGAATATATGAGGTTTTGTGACTCCAAAACCCTAGGAATTCGACAGTTTTATATATATAGATTACACATATTTTAATTTGTATTTGCAATACAAGTTATTGGCATAATTTGTTATTACTCGCATTATACAATATTACTAAGATCAAACGCAATAATAAATTATTAATAATCATATTTATTATTATATATAATTGTTGTTTCTTCCTTATATTTCTTTCAAAGTACATAACGGTGTCAACACAGCGGGAAATTATTTATTTACCATCAAGTCACGTGACAAAGTTTACACGCCATACAGTTGACTTTTAACAATGACACACACTTAACGTCTTCACCTGGCAAGTACTTGCAAAACACCTGATATATTTGTTTATAAAATAAGTTCAAATGTTGTGTAGTGAATATATATATATATATATATATATATATATATATATATATATATATATATATATATATGTTTTGTTATATATATTAAAGTTTATTTAATAATGTTTTATAATGTATTGTGAATTTTTATTATTTTTCACACACACAATAGTTGGAATATAATATGCAAGTGTTTGTTTATAAACACTGATTGATGTGTATCGAAACAAAATACTGAATTTCGTATTAAAAATTCGGTAAAAACAGAAAAACGACCCTAGCCGAAGAACCCCTTTTCTAATTCAAATGAAATTTAATACTGCAATCAACAGATGTTTAAGGTAAAATATGCTC